GGGGGGGGGGGGGTTGCATGCGAAAATGCCAATCGTACTAGAGCACTTCCCTCGAATCCGACCGCGCGTTAGTTTGTGCTAAGCTGTCTATGTGCTTCGGTGGGCGTTCTAAACGCACGACACAACGACGGTTAGAGTGTGATAAGTCGTCTGCACCAGCACGCCTATTTGTCCTTCAGAACGCGCTGGTTGAAAAGCTAGAACCAACCCCACCCGATGACATTAACCAGCACTGGTCGCTTATCAAGAATATTCTGCATTCTGCTGGCTTAGTTAGCTATGGTCTGACACATCGTGCCGCGACACCTTGGATTTCTGCGGAGTCTCCACGTCTCCTCGACGCACACCGATCAAACCCGACCGGCAGCCAGCATAATTAAATACGACACGCAACGAGTCGTAACCTCAACGTAAGCCTACACAAAGACCGCGAAATCTGGTGGACTCAACGCGCATCAGAGATGGAACGTGCTACTGCCATGGATAATTCCCGTTGGCAGTTCCATTTCATCCGAGTCACCGGTAGCCTTGGGTGTGAGCGAAACTCACCATCATCATCAGTGTACAGCGTAGTACAGTAAAGCGAACTTCGCTGATCGCTGCCAAACTCATCGCATACAAGGAAAATGACAATGTGTAAGGAGGATAGGGACTGGACCTATTCTTAGGCACGAGAAAAGAGAGTGAACCTCTATGGTCAGCACACAGTACACAGTTCAGCTGTGCATATTATTTCAAGCATTCTGGTCTGATAAGAAGTGACAGCATGATCGCTATTGCTGTCGGTTTGCAACCATGATCCTCAGTGCTTCCAACCACGCGGTTTCGGGGTCTTTTGGACCCCAACCCGGTAGACGAGAGACATCTACTCTACCTAATCGCTCGGTGTATTTCTTCATGCCTCGTCTCCACTTCATCTGCTAACCTCCACGTGGATTTCTCCAACCTGCAACCGGCACTGCGAATAAGGCGCGCTGCGGTAGGCGACCATCGGACATAAGCAACACGTGTCCTAACCAACGGAGCCTATTGAGCTGGATTCGATGCGATAGCGAGTTCTTGTTCGATGCATTCCCAAACACCCTACGACTTACTTCTAAGTTACTAACTCGCTCATTCCATCCCACTTGGGCCAGACCACGTAGGCATCAATTGTTGAACACTGCTAAACGACGGATTTCTTCTACCAGCAAGTTCAAGGTTTCACAACCGTACAGCAGAACTGATCGTGCAGTGGCGCAGTATAGGCGACTTTTCAACTTCAGTGAAACGTCACGTCGCCGCCACAAGTACTTAATTCCTGTGTACGTTGCTCGAGCTTCTGAAATGCGGGCGGTTATATCCTTTGATGCGCTACTGTCGTTGGTCACGCAGCTACCTAAGTACGAGAAGCAGTCAACTTTAACTAATTCCTTATCGTCTAGTTTCAGAACGGAACTCCGCGATACCCAGTTTTGTAGCATCACTTTGCACCTTGAAGGTGCAAAGCACATTCCGAACGGAGCGACAGAACTTGTTAATCTGTCGAACGCTCTTCGCGCTTCCTCCATAGATTCGAACAGGCAAACGATGTCGTCAGCGTACCCCAAATCACACAGCTTTTCTCCAGTTTCCCATTTAATGCCTACATTTTGGAGACCACTTAGTGTGTTCTCCAGTACTTCGTCTATGAAGAAATTGAACAGGAATGGTGAAAGAGGAAACCCTTGACGAACACCGCCGCTAGTTACGAACGACCTACTCAGCTCGCCGTAGACCCTTACAAAAGTATGTGAGTAAAGTGAACCCAATATGTTCACATACTTCTGCGGCATTCCTTTGCGAAGAAGCAGACCTATAAGGGGTTCGCGGTCAATTGAGTCGAAGGTCCCTTTTAGGTCAAGGAAGACGACAACCGTTGGTCGACGGTGAGTATGACGTAGCTCGAATGAAGATTTGATCGACACCCACGGCCTGGTCAAAATCCTACTTGTTGTTCCTGGATGTTGGTCTCCCTAGACGGTGCCAGACGTCGAAGTATGGTGGAGGCTATTAACTTGATGAAGATTGGGATCAAGCTTATTCCACGGTAGTTTGCGCAGTCGTTGTGACATCCCTTCTTAAAAATGGGAACAATCAATGATTCGCTCCAGGATGATGGAATGCGCTCATGTGACCAGATGTTACGCATTGGATCACTAATGGAGTCTACGAGGCCATCGCCTCCCAACTTGAAAAGAGTGGGGGGAAGCCCGTCCGGTTCTGCTGCTTTTCCTTTCTTCAGGGCTTGGATGCATGATCGAACTTCTGCTGCAGTAGGAGGTTCACATGACACTTCCTATGGAGCCGCAAATACAACAGACGATATAGTCTGCTTAGCACCTGGTCAGCTGTACTGTTCGTTCAAGTACTTCTACCGGTCAAGCCGTTGTTCCCTATTGTGAATAGCTTGTCCACTTTTGCCGCAGATTGTTTCACTAACTGTGGTTCTCCGACCTCCAGTGTTGCCAGTTGGAACAGTCTTTGACTGTTCCCTGATGCAGCTGCAACTTCCATTTCACTAGCCATCGTTGCCAACCAGTTCCCAAGATCCTTTTTGAGACTCTTCTTGAGTTGTCGTTGCAGACACCACCTGCCCCTGCTTTGATCCCGGGTGGTGGGGACTTGCCGCTTTTTCTCCATCAGTGCTACTGAATCATCAGATATCCAATACCTCGAGCGGGCTACCGCTTCAGACCTACAAGCAACTCTCGCAGCGGAGTACATTGCTCGTCTAATCTGATTCATTGTTAATCTACACTACCACCCCGCCGAGTGTTCAGCTTATGGCCTAGTTCTGATTCAAAACGGGCACGAACGGCTGGGTCAAATAAACGATGATCTGCCAACCGTGTTTGGTGGGTTTTTTGTGACCAGTGAGTTGGAGAGTGAACTGCATCAACACTAATCCATGATCAGATTCAACGCAGGTGGCCCAATAGGATCTGCAGTTTTGTACTGAGCTACGCCACATAGCTTACTGCTATGTGGTCGATTTGACTTAGCGTACCAGTTAAATTTGAGCTCCACGTTGCTGTCCGTTGTGAGCTGTGATGGAAGTTGGTGCTGGATAGGAACAGATGATGGTCTGCGCAGAACTCAAGAAGTCGATCCCCATTATCTGTTCGCTGGCAGGGCAGAGCACAATGACCGTCTAGGCAAGCTTCCGATGCGCTCAAATTTCCGGCTTGAGCGTTTAAATCACCTGCGAGATCAATTATATCGGAGCTTCGACTCAATCGAATGAGTTCGGTGAGTTTATCATAAAAGTCATCTTTCTGTGCGTTAGAACTGCAGTTCGTTGGAGCATACGCTGAAATGATGAACAGACACCTTTTGGTGTTACTTCCCTTCCGGACGCTGATGGACCCTTGGAGCTGCATCCCACATAAACGACTATTGACGGTGGCCTTCCCCTGCTCTATTTAAAGATGATGGAATGAAGCTTGTTAGAGAACTACAGGTTCTGTTCTCTTAAGTTTGGAACAGTGAGCAGGTCCACTCCTGGTGGAGGGAATTGATTGCCGTCCTTATGTCTAAAAAGTCCCGCGCAATGATTGCGCCAATCATAGGGGTATAAGCCTCATCCTAATAGCGTCAAAGCTGTTGGCGTCTGTCACTCCCCGCCGATTGTACACTATACGTCAAAAGCAAATCCTAGAGGAGCAGGTTGGATTTCGCGCCGGTCGTGGATGCATCGATCAAATCCTCACCCTCCGACAGCTGACTGAGCACCGTCACGCCTACCAAAAACCTAAAATTGTGTACTTCGACATCCGAACGGCCTTCAACTGTGTCGATAGGACCGTACTATGGAACTGTTTGTTGAGGAATGGAGTATCGATACTCAAAGAGTTATATCGTCATACCTCATATCAGGTTAGTACCTATGGCCAGCTTTCGACGTCTTCGTCTTCTCCAGTGGAGTTCGATAAGGCTGTCCTATATCCCCATTCCGCTTTAACTTCGCAATAGAGTATATCCTGCAGGATGATTTGTCCAGTTTCAATAACCGTGGAGTTCAACTTCTCCCAGGGAACGGAGTCCTTGACGTACAATATGCCGATGACATCGCCTTGCTGGGTGACAAAACACAGGCAGTTCAACACGCTTTGAACCGCTGGGCGATCAAAGTATCCAGGTATGGTATATGCGTTGCGCCGTCCAAATGTAGTGATCTTTCAAGACTAGTAAGAGCCTGTATCTGCACTCACCCTCTGTGATGATCAGCTGGGAGTGGGAGCTTAATCGTAGCTGGTGGTGGTGTTGGAGAAGAGATCACATCACGAATAGCGAGAGTTAGAGCAGACTTCGCCAAATTGCGACATCTGTGGCGCCGCCATGATATTCGACTGTTCCTTAAGAGAAGGGTGTAAATCGCCGCGGTCCGTAGTGTTCTAGTTTATTGTTGCGAAACCTGGTCGCTGACGATGCTAATTGACTTCCGATATTCGACCACCGATGTCTCCAAAGCGTTGCTCGTGCGTGGTGCGAACATCGGGTGAGCAATAATGAGGTCCGTCGTCGTGTGTTGGGTGTGGATAGTCGTCCTCTAACCAGTAATCGCTCTACACCGCCTACGATGGCTTGGTCGCGCATTGCGTATGCCTGCTCATCGACTACCTTTCCGCGCTCTCTTTGTACGTGCCGGGCAAGGCTGAAAGAAGCGCCGCGGCGGTCAGACCATGACATGGCGTAGAGGTCTGAAAAAGCTGGCTTCAGCTTTGGCTTCGGTTAGTGCAGCCCGTCTTCCAGGTTGGAACACAAGGGATGAGGATTTTTGTTAGTTAGAGACGCTGAGAGATATGGCCCAGAATAGAATTCAGTGGCACGAATGCTGTACGGTCTGCCTGTTGAAATCCTGTGCCCCATAAAACGGATAAACTAAAAGAAATCAAAGTGCATGGTGAAGCACAAACAAAAAATTGTTATTCCAGTTATTCACAATTATCCAATTCAACAGTTTCGTCTTCTTTTCGCACTGCTCTGTACCCCAATCCACTCATCCCCTGTGAATGTTATCGTTACTGAACTGACGTTGGCACCATGCTTGTCTGTAAGCCGGTGTTAAATATACATACACAATCAAGGCAATCAAGATGGTTCATCAGGGATAATATTCTGACACAGATAACTAGTATAGAGTCAAGTAAAGGAAAATAGAATCAACGAATAACCTATCATGCATTTATCGATAGCACAGGCTTTCCGACACTGATTAAAGTGAAGAACCAATCAAGGAAACTAGTAAAGGAGAAACAAAAATATCACCATCCAAACAGATCTTAGGAATAGGCAAATAAATCATCGGTGCGACAATTGGAAAAATCAAGTTCAAGGACGGTTTCAGGACAAGAACCTGATATTAACTGTAACTAGCGAAGAGGTGTTAACCAAGTTCGATTCTCACAAAAAGCCAAGAGTTATTGGAAATCAAAAAATAGCTGATAACTTACTTTGACCAGAGTGGCCAGGTAATCCAGATAGTACAATTCCGGACCATTTTTATCATCAAAGCCTGCAATCAGCATATTGACATGATACGGAGACTAAATAGCATGTGAGAAATATAGAGCAATTCGCAAACCTGGCTCCTGAGCGCTTTGGCTAAATTTCCACGAGTAAAGTTAGCAGCCCCGAATGGAGTAAGCTCATATCCTAAGCAAGACAAACATCATTTGAAAAAGCAGTAGATACCATTTCGTATTTCGTATAGCTGCATGTTCTGTTGAATAAACTCTGAGAATTGATTCGTATCTCCGGCCTCACCGCATACAGCCGCCAGAATACGGGTGCTAAATTTGAACATCTTTTCCTCGTCGTGTTTCATTGTACAAATTGAGCGAGAAGCCCGGGTGTCAGCAGCAACAATGCAAAAATTGTCCGTCCTTAAACCGATAACGCACTCCATTTGGACAAGGTGGATGAAACAAGCTGAAACACAGAAGAATAGGCAGGTAATGTTAGCGGTGGAAAAAAGCAACCATCTCATAGCACGGTAATTCGTAATACCAGACTTCGCACTTGTCTCAGTCCAGACTGTGCCAGATTAATCGCGGTACAATAATCTCGGTAACAGTAAAACACCTATGATTTGCTAGAGGGCGCAATGCTGCTAGGTTGCAGTGGTCGAAGTAGGTGCATTTTCTTGGGAAGTTCACAACTGGAGCCTCAGAATAGCCAAAACCTGATCCACAAGGTAGCGGAGTGGTGCGAGAAAACAGTAGCCGATTGGATGCTAGTATCCAGTTTATCGGTGTCATATCCTGGTTCTCTTGTTTATAAACCCTTTTATATTGCGTATTATATAAACTTCTCTCTTTCTATTACAGCTCATGTACCGGATTTATTAGTTGAGTAAAGCATATAATTCCGAATCCGAGTCTTCTCCATTCCGCTCTCGTTTGCTTGATCCGTAAAACGTTACAATAGGGCAATCCTGTCGTACCCCACTGGTGACAGGAAATGAGGGTGAAAATTCAACATAGGCCCTAACCGTCCCCGAAGTCTGGTGATAGAGCGCTTTTAGGAGTGAGACATACTTCTCGGGTACTCCGCATCTCCGCAAACAGTTCCATAAAGCAGGGCGATCGATAGAGTCGAAAGCCGCTCTGATGTCTAAAAACACGGCAAGGGTTTGTAGTCTATATGTGTGGCGGTGTTCTAGTAGCTGACGGAGGGTGAAGATTTGATCTATACATCCACGGCGTGCACGAAACCCGGCCTGCTCCTCGCGGATTTGCTTCTTGGGCATAACGTGCGTAATAAAACGGACGCTAGCATCTTCGGCGCTATTGGAATCAGACTTATGCCCCTGTGGTTCGAACAGGCGTTGCGACAGCCCCTTTTGTAGATGGGTGTGGCAATCGATTCTCCCTATATGTGGGGTACACTTTCAGTTTCCCAGATATTCGAGTACAGTTTCACAACTTCGCTTACGAGAGCATCTCCGCCATCTTTAGAGAGAGCAGGTGGCAGGCCGTCTGATCCAGCTGCCTTGTGGCGTTTCAGGGCTTGGAGTTCCTTTCGGATCTCCACCTCTGTGGGCGGTCCCGTGGGTAGTGGCCAGGGTGCACTTTCAAGAGAGCTGCTTGGGGCAGCCAGCGCGGGGGGCTGGTTGAACTGCGATGTGAAGTGCTCCGTCCAGCGTTCCAATCGTCGGTGAAGGCTGTTTATTAACGTGCCGTCTACTTCGCAGATTGTTTCACTACTTTTGGGGCCTGTGGCACGGATGAGCTGGAATGGTTGCCGGGTGTTTCCACACCTAGCCGCTGATTCCATCTCCTGTGCACGTAGCGTCCACCAGGCCTCTCTGTCGTCTCTCAAACTCTTTGTGTGTTCAAGCTTCAAGGAGAGGCTGTTCATTGTACACGTGGTCTGCCGGGATTGCTCGACGCGCGTCGAGGAGTCTGAGAGAGTTGGAGGAGACCCAGAGATTTACAACTCGGCGGGTTAGGCCACAAATGTGTAAACCGGCTGAGTGCATTGCGTTTCGGATGGTTGTCCAGTGTTGATCTACGCTACTTGGTGGGGTAGCAGTTA